TTTATCACCTATTCAGGTTGTAAATCGTGTTTTTAAAAAGTAACTAAGTAATTAATTACTTTTGAAAATAAGTAATCAGTAAAGTAATGGGATTACTTTTTGGGGGGAAGTAATCAGTAATTAGTTACTGATTACCTTTTTCAAGTAACTTGACCAACACTGGTAGTCTGTCATCCCTTTGTTGGTTTGTTGATCCAAAAAACTGGACGATTTGGAAGATTCCCAAAGAAAAAAATAAATAAAAACAAAAACCCCAAAACATTGATGTCATACTCAGAATGAATTGGCAGTCGTTCTTAACTAATCTTATGTTAAATCTGTTTAACTCAGATTTGTTGTTGCACCCAATAAAACATTGTGGTAACATGGTTTATATATATAAAAAAAAACAGTTTGTCATAGTGGAAAAATTATGTTCTTACTCTCTTTCATTGCTGTTTTTTTTTTACTGTGGAGCCAGGTGATGCAATACCATAGAGCTGTGGCTAATTTAGAATGACCACTTAAGCTAGTCGTCAGCCTGAATTGGAAGCCATCTGCTGGGCAATGTCAATGCTAATCACTGTACCGCCATACCACCCGCCGCCAATTATTGGATAAGAAGTAGGATGGGTGGTTACATTTGCAAAAAAGATCAAATGTTCACTTAAATTATGAAGTTATTTATAATTTAAGTGCTGCACTAGGAACTAGTGCAGGGGTGGGCGACTCCAGGCCTCAAGCGCCGGTGTCCCTGCAGGTTTTAGATGTGTCCTTGAACCAACACAGCTGATTTAAATGGCTAAATTAGCTCCTCAACATGTCCTGAAGTTCTCCAGAGTCCTGGTTATGAACTAATCATGTGATTCAGGTGTGTTGACCCAAGGTGAGATCTAAAACCTGCAGGACACCGGCCCTCGAGGCCTGGAATTGCCCACCCCTGAACTAGTGGATAGCAGCTATTAAGTCATCCATATCAGAGTGTTGTTGTTTTTTTCCCATTTCTGCAGAAATGTGATAATGTGGTGCTTCTGTGCTAAAATCACAGATGGCTTTTTTTCCTTACCATCAAATCCGTTTGCAAATTAGGCTATAAATTGATTCAGATGTGCTACTTGACTTCATGATTTCAGATAATGGCTGCATTTTTTCTTGTATACTTACAGGCTACGTCCACACGTACACGGGTCTTTTTGAAAACTGAGATTTTCCGTTTTCGTTTTAAAAAATAATCACATCCACACGTAAACGCAGAAATTAAGGAAAACGCTGCAAGGAACATGCCAAAGCAACAGGTGGCGATATATTCCTAACCGTGTAGAAATGTTGGCCAATCAGAAGTCTAGAAGCCTCGGTGAGAAATAGTAAACAAGGATGGGGCAGAGAAGCAGAACCTAGTGGTATGTATGGAGGGACAGTAACTGTGTGTGTATATGTAAGCATTTAAACACTGCAGAGAGTACAAGTAACAGTAATAGTATTGTAGAAATTCATTTCACCGAAACAATAACGTGGCGCACAGTGTGATGTCAAAAAAGGCTCACACCTTTGACGCTGCGTTTTCTGCGTTTCTCCGTTTTTCTCATCCACACGTAAATGCAAAAACGGAGTTTTCAAAAATATCCACCCTAGCCGGAGTTTTTAAAAATCTCTGTTTTCAGTGACCGAAAACGCCGTTTACGTGTGGAGAAAAGGTGCAAACACATAGAAAAATCTGCGTTTTCAAAAATACCCGGGTACGTGTTGACGTAGCCACAAATTCAAGAGTTGTATTCTCGAAACAAAAAAAGCTGTTGTACCTTTGAAGGGACTGTTCTTGCCTAGCCACAAGATGAGCAGCTAGTAGGTCACCCTAACACGTTAACCCATATTATCAAGAAATACAGCAAAGTACTTTAAAATGTCAAACTCCTTCCTCACAGGATACAGCCAAGATTAAGACAAGTGGAAGGAAACAATTTTTTTAAAGCCCTAACTTTATGTTCTGTCTCCAAACAGTCATAGTTAACTCATTCACTGCCATTGACGTCTATAGCCGTCAATTGCAGTGAATGAGTCAATGGGTTTAACTCATTCACTGCCAATGGCTGGCAGTGAATGAGTTAAGAGGGCAGTAAAAGCGCAACAATTTCTGCTTATTTTCCTTTTGATGTTCAGACCTGCAATAAATTGTCTGTTCTGAATGCTCAGAGGGGGGGAAAAAGCTGTTCAATCTCCATCTTGTTTGATCTTGCAGAGAGGCTGACATTCCAGGATGTTCAGTCACCGCAGGAGTTCCGCTATGGTGAGACAGCAGAAGTTGTGTGTGATGTCATTAGCTCCCCGGTGCCCGTGGTGGTGTGGTACTACCAGGACAAAGAGATCACTGAGGAGCACCACAGTAAGTTTTGCCCCCCCTGATTTCACGTATAGACTTTTTTCATTACATTTCTTGGTTTTGTTCTTTTGTTTTTTTTAATTGCCGTGGGAAATTACATCCTACTGCTCTGCCATTTGCAGTGACCAAACAAAGAATGGCTTGTTAGGTTAGCTCAAAGGTATTCAGAAGGCCTCAAGATCAGGGACACAATATAAAGTTATGTTTTGGGATGTGAAGTCTGAATTACAGTAGGTAATCAAAGATCAGTATCAATGACTGTTCTTTAAAAGTAATTGAGTTGTAATTGCCCAAAATTTGAGAGGCTATATACTGTAAAAATATAAATAAAAGTAGAATCCAAAGTTTTTCAAATCTTGTGAGCACAAAACAGAAAACATATCAAGTGTTTAACGTGAGAAGAATGCACCATTCTAAGGAAAATATTTGCTCATGTTCAATTTGGTGGCAGCAACTAGTCTCAAAAAAAGCTGCAACAGGGGCGACAAAGGGCGATTAAGTAATGCTAAAAAGAAACAGCTGCAGGAACATTTTTCATGTGATTAGGTTAACTGGTAACAGGCCAGTAGCATATATAATATAATCCTGGTAAAGGTTTTTGTCCACTGAGAGTAGTAAAGAGCAGTTTTCTACTTTATGCATGAATAACATGATACATCGTTCCTGTCAATGGTCACGCTGATTGAGTTGCACGCCCACAAATGTGCAAAGTCCCAAGGAGAAGAAGATGGCTAACAAAACAGAAGTAGGAGCCTCCAGTGCTGAAAACTACCTGCCTAATACCTAATCCCTGTAGACTACCATGTTAAAATGTCATTTAGTTTATTTAGTTGCAGCATCTATGGCTAAGTTCCCCCTTTGTAAGACCTGTACTGGGATAAATTTGAAATAACACACAAATATTTAACTGTATTAGGCTAGTGCGTGACCAATACAGGAGACCGATAGCGGTATTCAGTATTTTTTTTCTTTCAGACACACAGAAATACAGTTTCCTGGCATTGGTTATATGTCGTTATTCATTTTCTCATCCTCTGCCTAAATCTGCTTAAGTTAGGGTTAAGCAGGGCTGTTTTTTGTTTATAAGCATATAATGTATCTGTTTAATCTTGTGTTAAAGGTAAATTCCTGTTAAAAAAACAAAACAAATATATATATACATACATACATATATTGTTTTTAAGTGTGAAATGCTTTTGATCAAATCATCCCAAAGTCTCTAGTCAAAGAAAGTACTTGGATAAAGTACCACTGCTTAAGTGTGAATAGTCAGTGTGTATAGTGATATTGAATATTTTTGTAATTTATGGTAATAATAAAAGTTGCATGTGAGTGATAATCTCAAAAGGATTGCATGACGAATGTAAATATGCCAAAAACACTTAATTATTGAGAGGAAAAAAAGCTTGTCAGTCTCAGCCTGCCCAACTGTTTCCCTCTCTCGGTCATTGAAAAGGCTCACTAATGTGGCAAAAATTCAGGTCTCTGGGAAATGCTATTCCCTTCTTTTGTGTGGATTCACAATAAGACAAAAGTCTAAAATTCTATGAATAGAAACCCCATCAGCCCCGGAGGGAGGCGTCTAACTCAGACAGAGACGATGTTAACAAGCAGCTGAGAGGACGGATTATTGAGCAGTTGGATGGCGACATTCGAAGATACCGCTTCCCATGAGATAAAATGCAAACCCACACCCTGCATCTTTTGGTAAAAAGCCAGCTAATGGGTGTATTTATGTGGCACTATTGTCTATCATCTTCCATCCTATTCGAGGGAAGGCTGATGTATGTCATTTATGAAGCTCTTTCTGGTAATACCACCCTTTTCAGCGCTAATAGTGCTAAATGTCAGAAGAGTAGTCTACTTAATATTAAAAGAAAAGAAAGATTCACTTTCAGTAACAGTCTTCCCTGATAGAAAGCAGGTGCTGCAGTTAGAACCAGCAGACTAGGACTCATTATTTCGTCTTCGCCTCTTCCCTGATTTACAACTCTCTACACCGCTTCCCCGTCCTCCTTCCAGACAAAACACACGCCTGAACAGATTAGAAAGAGTGACCCCTTGAATCTGTCACGGTTTTTAATTGAAATTCAAATCTTCAGCAGCAAGGTAATGATGAAACATGGAGAAGAATGTTTTTTTTCCTTTAATCATTTCACTCTAATTACGCTTCGTGGTTATAAATATATTTGCTTGGGAGAAATGAGATAGAGGCCCGAGCAATCCCGGCCAATCTCCCAGTGGCCACAATAGGAGACTGTGTGGAACTGTAATTGCGCAAGTGTTTATCTGTGTGGACTTTATCAGGTAAATGTGCTGAAGAGAAGATTGACAGTCTAACTACTGAAGAGTGGAGATGGCAATTTTCTCCCGCTGTTTTTCTAACTTTCCTATCTCGCTTCTCTCCCTATCGTACGCTGTTTTTCTTTTGTTATTTCCACTCTCCCCTTCTGCCTTTCTCCGGCTGTCCTTATGTCCTCCTTTTCACGTGTGCTGTGAAGGCAGGTTCCAGGTGTTGCCAAACAACAACCTGCAGATCCATCAGGTGACCAAGGCTGACGAGGGTGTGTACCGCTGTGAAGCCAGCGTAGAGGCACGCGGGGAGATCGATTTTGTGGACATTGCAGTGGTGGTCAATGGTGAGTGAGGATTTTTTAACATTTACTTGAATTCGTGATGACATTCTGATGTACAACAATAACAGATTGTTTAAGGTTATTTCCAGGATTTTATGGACAAGAGCAATGTTGAGGTCTAGCTGCCAACGGAACACAATAACCAAGATTTCTGCAGTAAAAAATCAAGTGTGGTCTACTGGCATCTTCAGGGAGGACACAAAACTAAAATCAGGGGAAATGGGCAAGGACGTGCAGACTGAGATTCAGTTCACCCAAATAAAAAATATCCATAGTGCTAAAATCTTTGTTTTTCCTAATAGTCAGTGTAATGGCTACAAAACAGCTGATAGTTTAGTGCTGTAAAGTCTGAACATACATACAGATCTGGCACAGTCCTGCTTGTTTAGCAGTTGGAAAGTTGTTGTAGATTAAAATAGACACATTGCTGATACATGCTGACATATCGGGGTGCCAGAACTTCAGTGCAATTTAACAGTGACGGTTTTGTGGGGATCTGTGCTCAGTATAGCTTGACAGTTGGGGAATTTGTCAGTGACAGATTGGGAAAAGTTTAGAAATGTGGATAGCAAGCAAAATTAGCTTTTTTAATGGATTAGAACGATGGAGGGATTCCCCTGCTGTAATTTCTGCCTCAGCGTTTCCAAGGGTGTGCTGGAGTTATAACATTGGTAGAATTTTAAACTCGATACCAGTAACCAGGAAAAAACAAATCACAAAAATTATGAGGCCTTTAAAACAAAAGATTACAACAGCAAAGAATAACAAGGGCAACACTGTGTTGTGTATATCTAAAGTGTCCAAATATCCAAGTGTAGTAACACAGGTATAAGATACGGTAAAGCACTCTGGAACACTCTGGAAATACCGCCCTTGCTTGACTTACCCCCCAATAGATGGTTATTAAAGGAATTCAGCTGTACTCATTCCCCCAACGAGTTCGGTATTGTTATTTTTCATCATAACCCCTCTGAACTGAGATTGGGTAATTTGTGTGACTGTTGGCTTCCTTGGATATAGTAGCTGTGTCCAAGGGTTCCTCTACAGGATTAAATCCGGATTCCTGGTTACTCATGGCCACGATGGCACGCACATAAAGTACCATCAAGAGATGATTGGGCAGATATTTAGTTTAATTCAATTCAGTTCAGTTCGAATCAGTTTTGTTTATATAGCATCAAATCACAAGAGGAGTCAGCTCAAGCCACTTTATGTTGTATCATACAGGCCCTACAATAATACAGAGAAAGGAGAAGGAAAAACTCGCTTTAAACAGGAAGAAACCTCAGGCAGAACCAGGCTCGGAGAGGGACAGCCATTTGCTGCGACCGGTTGGGGGTGACGACAGTTACTTAGTTACTCAAAACTGCCATCAACAACGAGACATGTATCACATTCAGATGACATACCCTCTCTCATCCTACCGGTTGAGGGGAGGAAGACGAATTCAAATGGGACAGAGATGTCTCATTTGAATCTCAGAGGATTCTCTTAGATAGTGCAAAAATCAAAAAAACTAAATCACCAGTATTATTAGACTGCTGGGCATCTGTGCTGCGGGTGACTTGACATCATATTTGGACTGGTACTTATTTAGTGCTTTTCTAAGTGCTTGCTTACTGCAAGCCTCATTCAACCATTCACACAAGTGCTTTAATGTTAACCAATACTTTAATGTGTATCCAATACTTTGACTTGGAGACTAAAGGAGCCAGGAACTGAACCACCAACCACTTTTGTTTTATAGCTATTAGCCAGCATTGTACCGGTACTGACTACAAACTCAGCTTTGCAGATTTGCAGACCATGCTCCTGCACACATAGTATCAATAGATTAGCATACATTAAGGTATGAATTTTCTCTCTGCAGTATTGTTGTTGTTGTTCTCAAAATTCAACGCCTTTCATTCTTTTCATTTTTGGACTTACAAAACCTTAAGGGTTGCAGGTGCCCAAGGTTAAAAACATAATACATGATCAAGGTTAGTTTAGCAGTACCGTTTCTCTGTGACTGCAGAAAAAGATAAAATATAACAAGGTATCATTCATATAATTAATTAGCACTAATTTGGTTCCTTTAATTTTTTTGTTTTCTAGTTTGTTGTTGTTAAGTCTGGAGACTGGGGGTAAAATAGCTGCATCCTGCAAGCTGTCAGTTTGTTAACAGTTACTTAAGATTAGTAGAGTATTATAGCATGAAGCTGACATATTTCACTGAGTGTTTGCAGAGTTTTGATCATCTGCAGAGTGAAGGCAGTGGCTCTGAAACAGCTCCTACAGTCGTGCAGCAACTCAGATGGAAATTCAGGTTGAATGCATGGACCTGTAGTTGTAGTATCAGAAAAGAGCTGTCAGCTCTGACAGATTCAGTTTCAGTGAATTATAAATACTTACTAGCTGGTCTACTGGCTACTATGGGGTGTGGTTTTAGTTTGTAATTCTCTCTGTTCTTTAGTATGATTGAAAATTGTAATTAGCGATGCCTTCGGGCTCTGTGGCCCCAAAAATCAAAGGATGTCATATTAATTTTCTCATTTGTCCTCATTTACCGTGAGTCACCTGAGACTGTTGAGGTGATTGAAATGTGATTTTACTACGGCCACAAGCATCTTGTAACGGTTGAACAGCTGCAGTATTGTCTCTGCCTATGTAATTCTCTCACTCCTAATGTAATAGCAGATCAAGCCTCCGCCAAAAACTATGAATTGCATTCAATTTAGCACACCACTTACCTCACTTCTGAGGAAGATCCAATAAGCTTGCTCAATGAGGCACGACCTATTATTGCAGCGACACGACACTCGCCATGTGGTGCTGAGGCGACCAGACCTCGCTAAGCATCCTAACTCCGTAAGGGAGCCACACCCAGAGGGAGATGCATTAAAGTGAACTTCACTTTGCCTCCAAGAGACTTATTCTGCAAGTCTGTGAAGACTTTTAACATTTTGCATGAGTGAGACAAAAGCTGCACCATTTGGTCCTCATGAAATATATAAAGCACTTAGAGCTAAATAAGTCTTCTTGAAACTAATGAGTTTTGTTACGGTACCACTAGACTAGGGGACATCTGTTACACCAGTGCCTTTGTCTCCTTTTTTTCTGAGCACTCGAAATGTTCCCTTAAAGCTGTCCACCTGGAAGTTAGGAAATAAAACTGGATGATTCTGATGCAACTGCTCATTCACGATATAAACTGTAAAAGTGGGCACGAACAATGACATGTCCTCCATTAAGATGTTGTCTACCATTTTAAATCGTCAAGTCACATTCATTTTATTGAACGGGTATCTGAGGAGCGAGGACTGCTCTTTCATCAATAGAAAGATTTTGAAACTAGTGATTAAGCTAACCTGAGGAGTCGCTACTTGCTGGTCATTAGAAGGAATGCAGGTTTATAGCACTTAAGAATTGATTTCACTATACAAGCAGTACTTCTTTTCCTCTTGGTGCCACGAACTGACCAAAATCCAAAGTACTGTCAAATGGGGCTCAAATGTTACTTTACTCTCTCTGGTGCAGAGCTGGGTTGTAAACCATCTGCTATTATTGGCAGTTTGGACTAAACTGACCACTGTTGGCCATAAGCATTGGGAAAGAAAACCACCAAACATGCCTATGCTGGTACACATTGGGCAACTCTGCGTGAACTCTGGGGATATGTGGTTAGGGGCAAATTCTTTTTTTCCCATTTGGGCCTCAAGCAGGTGTGCTTCAACTCAGAAAACCCTTGTGGGGATCCAAATTAAAAAAAAACTGCTGTGAAGCCTGCATGAAGTAACTGTGGATTTGTCCTGTCCACACAGCCCCACCATGTGAGGCCAACATATGTCCCACATTTCTTAAAAGTAAGGGGCCCACTGTGGGGCTCGTGGGTCTACATAGACTGGTCTCACATACACCCCAAAGGTGCACATTTGCTATAAAGGTGCAGTCATTAATCTAGTTAAGCTTTGGTTGCTCAGCTGATACCTGTCCACTTATGTTCCCCAATTATAGCAAGCTAAAACATTCGCTGCTCTCTTTCTATCTCACTGCCAGTCACTCCTCACACCAGGAAAAGTGTGTGTGGTAGTGCTGCTTTTATTCCACAGTTGTTTGTGTCTGTTTAAAGTCTGTTATGACCTTTGTACATAAACTGACCAGCTTCAAACAATAAATTTACCTACTGGCAAATGACAAACAAAAGGCCTAAATAGCTAGGTACTTAATTCATAAATTTGTGGAAACCAAAACAAAGCTGGGAAAAACAGTACATTCGCTGGGTCACTTAAACCCCTCCTGCCTCAGTAAATGTTAATTCTGCTCTCTGTCTCAGCAGGTTGTATAATCAAACCATTGTGTGTTTACAGCTGCATGGCCTCCAAGTAGTGTAGAAGATCTACTACTGCAAACTGATGTTTTTCTTGCACATCTTCTCAAACTGCCATCATGGTATTTAGTTCTGAGATAGCAGTGGTTCAGAGAGACTTGTAGTTAAGCCTCTAGCATAAAAGAGTTGGTCTGAAGGTAGAAAAGATTGAGAGGGCATTTGCTTAAATGTCACCTAGTGTCATGGGGCAGACAAATAGTATAAGCTCCCCATCTTTTTTCTGTAGAAAGTGAACATGTCATCCACTCAGCTCTTCACAGTAATACTTAGAGATCTGAAAAACTGCTTCTCTGCTTCTTTTCAACAAATCTATGTTAGTATGCAAAGTATCCAAGAACAAAGCAGTGGATGTGCTGCCTTATGGTTCCTCTGACATCTCTATCTGACTTACATCCACGTTTTCTTTCTTCCTGATGGTGTAAATAGTCCCTAAGGAGTTTTCTAAAGTGTACGAGGCACTGTGCAGTTCAACTATGGAAAGCCATATTGCACCCATACCATAGCTTTTACTCTCAGTTATTTGAACAAGCAAACCTGTGCATTCCAGTTATTTCCATTTCAACCCCTTAAGCTACATCTCATCTGAAGAGCTATTTTTGTAGGCTGGGGAAGAGGCTAGAACTTGAGTCTTATT